GTCATCTGCTTCTAATGGAGTTCGAATCCAAGTTTGCATTTCCATAGTTCGTGGGAGAGCCAATTGAGCTAGGTCAGTTGGTCCCATCACCGGTCCCGGAACCGGTGTCTGGCCCGGTCCTAAAATGATACAGAGAAGTAATAAAATAATAAATGATAATATTAAATAAATAAATAGTTAAAAAAAAATGAAGTAGAGGGGGAGAGGAGGGAGGGAACTACAGATACCACTCGGTCCCGCCATTCGGCCCCGTGCTCGACACTGACGACGAAACCAAGGGAGATAGTGCCACGAGACCCTCAACCCCTTAATCTTCTTTAATTGCGCTTTATTGCTTTTTCGCCACTCATTGGCCTCGATCTTCTTATCTATTGTTTCGAAGTCTAATGTCATAATCTACAGGGTTAGGCTCAATTGTAAGTTTAGAAAGCGTAGAACTCCATATAAAAAGTAACTACCCTGGACCTAAACCCGTTAAACTTCCCCAAGCCACATCTTGGCCTATTGGCCGAACCCACGGCTGTTGAACCCTGTCATCCGTCGAGTGGAGGTCTGGTCCCCATCTATATCCATTGCACACACCATTTACCATACAAAGGCCTCGTCATTATCGATCATGGCCCCCACATGCGACCACTTTTCCAAGGTCATACCTCTGTTATTTCTGCAGGCAGAAAACTTCGACCTTTTACTTGTATCGGACTTCATTCATATATGCCTAGCCAAGGTCGTAGGTGACTTCTATTGACAGGCAAGAGATACAACAACCAAAACACTTTACGGATTCTTGTACTATGCAAACTCGGGCGCTGCCTCAAACGAATTATTGAAAATCACCTCGGATGGCAGCATCGACGACTAGCATCACTTTAACAATAGTCACGACAACGTCCATCTCTACGCACACACACACAATACGTGCGACCATACTAATAAAAAACTAGCCTTTCTTTTACTCGCATTACTCTGCGAGATCACAAACTGTTTTGCCGGATTGTGGAACCGCCGGACGTTCACGAAACAAACGTGCGCCTCAAAGTTCACGCCCATAGACTCTCTGACCTAGCCATTCAGCCCCTCGCTCATTCGACTACTGAGAGTCGGTTACGAGCTGAACAAAATACAAATGTGTTATTGCCTCAATTGTCGTTGCAGATGCAGTTCATGCAAGATACAAAAAATACGAATGAATACACTTGTAAGGGCATTTGTAATGACATAGTGTTTTGTAAACGGTGGATGTGTGTGATGGATGTTTTTTTTCCCCATTGTGATGTTCGCCAAAGCATCTCAATCTTATTCTCGACGCTACGTCAAGATCTCAAAACGTGTTCCGAGTTCCCATACAACGAGGAACACCCACGTGTCTATGAGTGGAACGTGCGAGACTTTGTGGAACAAACCGGATGACCCTATTATTGTGTTGCGAAAACGCAATGTTTGACTTTTGTGAACTCCGGATTTGTGATTGTGGATATAATATTTTTCCCATTATTATGTTTTATTGTCTTTCAACGATCCGATCATGGTTCCGTGGCCAACAAATGCCCCTCATTGGTCGTGTAGTATGTGGTATAAGTGCTGACGTGCACAGCGAGAGACTTCAATTATATGCCATGTGAAAAGTCAGAAGTCGAGAAGAGAGTTGTGCAATTACGCCCCTCTAACTACTATTTTGAACTCTGTGAGACATATCACCGAACCCTTGTCTATAACCGAGTCCCGTCATATACACCCGCACGATTTAGATCAGGAAAGAGACGCCGCGGAACACAGGATGACGAGCAACAATACTTTTTGAATCAGATGGATATTGGATGTCACGCCTGATCGGTCCCTCTCCCTCGTTTATTAGCAGTAACCGAACTACACATGAGATTCAAATTCCATAGTCATTTTTTCCTCAAATCGTTGGCATATCCCCATTCAAGTTGCATGCTTTTCGGGCCTTTTCCATATTTCTAGTCACTCCGAGAAGGAAAGCAGCGTAAGGAGTCAGGTTGGTACAAGCATCAAAGGCAGACAATCCTCTATTTTTTCCTAGTTTAATCAATGCTGACTTGTGTTGCAACTTTTTGTCTTTTGGAAAAGGTAGGTAGAAAGTGAATACCTTGGTTCTTCCGGGGTAATCAGTATTGTCATGTGTCTCCCATGACTAAGAGAGCTAATTTGTCTCATGAAACGTTGGATCCAGTTTCCAAGTGTTGCTCCCCATTGCTTCCCAAGAATAAACATGAGCCATCTATAGGTAATCTCAAAATGAGGAGGTGTTAGTATTACCCCTATGGTAGTTTAAAGCACCAGTACACCATACATAGGCCTGCGGGGGTCAGCGTGGAACCTGCACCACTTCAGAGGCCGCAAATTTCCTTTTTCAACAACGCCCCATGCTGCACGGCCCCTCTAAGTTTTACTTGTGACGACAAAAACTTTTTGCAAGGTTGGGGTCGTGTACACTCATGTTCGGGAAAAAAAAGAAGAGTTTCCTATAGGTCGGGGTATGCTATAAGTGATAAGTTGCTAACCTGTAGAATAGACCTGTCCTTGGGACATCTTGGGGCTTCCCCCCTTGGACTCCTCTTAAAACTAGGCTTTCCCTGGGCCACCCCCTTAGTCTCCCCGCTGGACCTTTCCTTGGGCTTTCTTCCCCTCATCCTTCGCTTACCACTTGTGACTCGCCAACGTTGTCACGCCCTCCAACGAACGTTCTTCACCCGAATACAACGCCACGTGATTCTACAACGTTGTCACATCCCAATTACCAATCTTCCCTGAATACAACGCCTCCAATACGCTCGCTGGACCATAGGGGGCAATCTTTCCCCCAGTACATCGCTCGGTGGATCACAGTTGGCAACTTTCCCTAAATACAACGCCAGGTGGATCACAACTGACAACTTTCCCCGAATACAACACCCGATGGATCATAGCTGGCAACTTTTCCCTAAATACAATGCCCAGTTTCCCCAAATATAATGCCCGGTGGATCACAACTGGCAATTTTTCCCGAATACAACACCTGGTGGATCATAGCTGGCAACTTTTCCCCGAATACAACGCCCAGTTTCCCTTAATACAACGCCGAGTTGCCACGAATACAACGCCCAGTTGCCGCGAATACAACGCCCGGTGGATCATGGCTGGCAACGTTCAATGCCCAGTTTCCCCGAATACAACGCCCAGTTTCCCCGAATACAAAGTCCAGTTGCCGCGAATACAACGCCCAGTTGCCGCGAATACAACGCCCAGCTGCCGCGAATACAACGCCCGGTGGATCATCGTTGGCAACGTTCAGTGATTGATACACCGATAATGACCGGGTGTTCTTTTTGGGTAGGCTAGTAATGTCTGGGTCTTCGGAGGTAAATATACGGCGTCACTACCGGTAGGCCGCCAATGTTTATTCCTGACGAAAGGGTCCGATTTTAGGGCACACATGTAAACCAGGGCCTCGCGGCGCCAGTCACCCACCAAATATAGGGTCTCACTGCATGGCACATGAAAGGAAAACGAAACGAGTGCATCTGCCCACGAAAGGTGGCAAAATATACTCGTTACTATTTATAGCAAACCAATGAACGTGGCCATTTTCTGCAGGAAGATGCACTCGTTTCGTTTTTCGTTTCGTGTCCCGTGCGGCGACGCCCATATGCAAAATCTGGACCTTTTCTCGATTTATGCGTGTCTTCCTTGAAAGCGCAGAGGCCGTGCTAATCACCCCTCTCTGTATCGTTCCAATTTTAACGGATGTCCCGAAGGACCCCATATGCATCCCGCGGCCTAACTCAGTTGGTAAGGCACGCAAGTGGCATTCAGGAGGTGGTGGGTTCAATCCCCATTGACCGCATGTACCTTCCTGGGCATGCTTGGCGCCCGCCACCTGGAGATAGACCACTGGATCCCCCGATCGGCATTAAGCAGAATCTGCTGATGTTCGTAGGGGAGGGGACCTGAGGGGAGGCACAGGGATTGGTCCTGTTGGCATGGTCCCTGATGCTACCGGCTGTCCCCTAGCCGGTATCGCCCACCTGCAGGTCGGGAGCAGCCCCCGCATGTTCTCTCGTGAACACGGTTCTGGCTGCTACGGGGTTCCCGCATGCTTACAATTAGGAGTAGTGGTAGGTAGGTAGTGCGAGGTGAAATTGAGAGAAGAACATTATGCTTACAATTAGTAGTGGTAGGTAGGTAGTGTGAGGTGAAATTGAGAGAAGAACATTATGCTTACAATTAGTAGTGGTAGGTAGGTAGTGTGAGGTGAAATTGAGAGAGGAACATAAAAAAAAAAGACAAAATAAAAATGTACTTCCCCCCTACAACCTGGAACGACAGGCCCGACATAAATTTGTCTTTTTCACATTCAGTGAGTGGTGCGGCGAGGCCCCCAGTCCGAGTTCCTTTTCTTACTTACCAAGAGAATAGGAGGCCTCCACAAACAACGCCGGAAAACATACTGGGACCACCACCCCGCTTCGGCGCAGAGAGAGGGGAAGAACCGTCTTGACCCGAATAGAACGCCCTGTCATTATATCTGTATTTTTGGCCGACGATTCCGTCTAGATGCAGCTATAATAACCGGGCGTTCTATTCAGGTGAAGAGGAGGTGCAGTAACGGTCCAAACCGGACCACTCTCCTGAAGCCTCATCTCCGAGGTTAGCTTTAGGCCCTACTAGTTGCACTAATCGCCATCCGCCAAGATTTCAAATGCATCTGGACAATACAGATGTCCAGATTCCAATGCATCTGGACAAGGAGTATGTCCACGTGCAATCAAAGGCCAAGATTTCGCCCCGAATTTGGCCAACTCGCCTCTGTTAATCGAAGGCCGACTCACCATCTCTCTGAGTGTACTCTCAGTGGCCGGTCATTTTGTGAGTCTGCCATTTTCGAGGGCCCACCGGTAGTGTGATTGTACTCTCAGCGGCCGCTCATTTTGTGTCTGCCCTTTCGAAGGCCCACGGGTAGTGTGAGTGTACTCTCGGCGGCATGCAAACAGCCGTCTCGATGTACCACTGCCATCTGAGGGGGGCCCCGATGTGACATGTGGCGCGCTACAAGGCAGGGCTACTTCCAGAACGCCATGGGAAAACGGACCTCCAGCAGGCGGGCACAAGATTTATAGCGGGCGAAGTTCGAAGGAGGGTTTCTGTTTGTTTGTCAGCTCATGTGGAGGCGATCGAGGAGAGTACGTGCCGATGTTGTTGTCACGCGGTGAGTGCAAACGAGCCAATCGTCTTCATCTTCACCTCCCAACTCCTCCTTTACCTTTAGGGCCTACAGTAGTTGCCCCACTCGCCATCCGCCCAGATTTTGAATGCATTTGGACATCATGGCTGTGCAGATGCACTCACGGACTTGGAAGATGGCGAGTGGTGCAGCTACTGTAGGCCCTTACCTTCACCCATACCTTTACCTTGTACCTTCATCTTTACCTTCCCCTTCACCTTCTTCTTCACCTTCTGCCCGTCACTCCTTGCTTAGGGTGTGTTCACACTTAAGCTTTCCTGGATGAATTCACCTTCACCGCTTTCCTGGATGTATTCACCTTCACCTTTACCTTTAGCTTTACCTTAACCTTACCTTTCCCTTTCACCTTCTACCCGTCACTCCTTGCTTAGGGTGTGTTCACACTTAGACTTTTCTGAATGTATTGGATCGCATTTTCGGCCAGATTCACTCGAGAATGCCCTCGTGTGAGTATGGCCTCAACGGAGGTGCTTCGCTCTGTATCCCTTTCGTGTTTGCCTTGCTTCTATGGATCTGTCTTCCTCTTTTGTGCATCTTGATCTGTGTCGCCCACCAGTCCATTTGTCCATTTTACCTCCTTACCGTCTTCCTCATCTCTCCGTTATGTCTCCGTCCGTTATCTCCTTGTCTCCGTTATGTCTCCGTCCGTTATCTCCTTGTTTCCGTTATGCCTCCGTCCGTTATCTCCTTGTCTCCGTTATGTCTCCGTCCGTTATCTCTTTCTCTCCGTTAATGTTCCGTCTCGGTTTTCTCCTCCCTGTCTGCATTTCTCTCTCTATCCCTTCTTTCTCTCCATCCCCTCTCTCTCTCTGTCCCTTCTCTCTCTACCTTCTTTCTCTCTCTCTCCCTTCTTACTCTCTCTCTCTCTTCCTTCGCTCTCTCTCTATCCCTTCTTTCTCTCTCTCTTCATCTTTTCTCTCTCTCTCCTGTCTCTGGCTCCGTCTTTCTCGTCTTCCTTACGGACCTTCTACCTGCATCGCTCTGTTCGCGCCTCGCCGCACCATCAGCGAAACCGTGAAAAATCGTGAATGCATCTTCACATGGGAGGTGACCAGGTACAGCCGCCACTTTGGATCGTGTGCCAATGGATCTTGCCAGCTTCCGTGTGAAGGTGCACTCGGCATTATTTAAGGTCAGTGACAAGTAGCGCGAGATCCTTTCCCTCTGCTCTGCTGATGTGGACCATTTCGCTCGTTATTAGGGTATAACGCTCATCAGGAATTTTGCCGAATCGTTTCTGGACGTAATTGCGGTCAAATACATTCATATCTGTCGGTAATTGCCGCCCGCCCAATTCATTCATTCCTATTCAGAAAAGAGTCCGCCTCCACTGTGAGGATGAATCCCCCCTCTTGTGTTCATTCATTATCCCCCTTCCCTCTCTTCTTGTGTCTCCTCCCAACGGAAGGGGTCTCCATCTTTCAAACCTGTTTCGCGATGAGGAGAGAGAGGTCCCTCCTCTTCTTTCTCTGTTTTCGGTCGTGTCAAAAAAAAAAAAAAAAAAAAAGGTTCGTTCTGTGTCTTCGTCCCGTAGTAGAGTAGGTTGTGAAGCTTTTTGAAAATTTCCCAGAGCGTGTAGGAGCGTGTATCTTCCGCTAGAACTTGGAAAGATACGCACAGCAGCACTCACCACCAAATGTGCAAAATGGAGCGTGTATCTTCCGGTAGAACGTGGAAAGATATGTCAGCCATAGCTTTTGATTGGTGAATGGTGCGGAGAGGGCCATGGACTCTCCTCGTCACTACGCTTGTAAGATGTTCGGCGTCCTACTTTCTCCGATGGACCACGGATCAGACATTAAACTGATCAGAACAGATACTACACTTGATCTTAGCCAAAAGGCCGAGAAAGGTATTCCCTCCTCTTTTCTTTGCCTCTTTTTTGCCTTTTGGCTGTGTGCAAGTGGGTCGATATGACACACGGGGGTGGGGGCAGCCGCCGCTCAACCTACAT